CAGGGAACACTTCCATCTTACCAGGTCAGCTGCTACTTTTCCTCCAATTTGCTCCCATCTAGCCATAACTACAGGATCCTAAACCTGAACAGAACATGTTCCCATGTTCCCTGCTCCCTCCTGTACTCCAGCCCAATTCCACCAGCCTCTCAGGAGAACAGCAAACTTACAGTCACAGTAAGATCTTACGGGTCCAGCAGCACAGTTTTCAATTGGAAGCATGGCACTAGTTTAATTGCATCAACCCAAAACATGTGGGAACACTAAAATGCAGACAAATGCCCAGAGTCACAAGCGTGGGCTTCCAAAACACCCAAACAAAGATCTACTGAGGTCATACTTTTCTCAGTGATAAAACAACTTATACTCATTAAAAAAAAAAAAAAAGAAAAAAATATTTAAACCTCTCCATCCTTGGTGAGGGCGCGGGGGGGGGGGGGCCTAGGTAAACTCTTAAGTCATAAACCTTAAAATGCCTATTTTTTTTTTAGCTCTTGATAAAACTTATCAATGACTGCTTATCAGTGGTACTCCATTAAAAATGTTGATATTGCTCTATTAATGAAGTCTCTTTTGTCTTCATCACAGATTAGTTAAAAACCTAAGTTAATTAGAATAATAATTTTCTAGAACTAGCTTCATTAATAAATGGTGACAATCATAATAATAAAAAGGATAAAAGCAAACATTCATTAAGCACATCCTATGTGTTAAGCCCTTTCATATCATCTCAATCCTCAAAACAACCCTGTTTTTATCTCATTTTGTAGCTGAAGACACTTAAGAGCCTGCTCCTTATTTATGAATTGGCTCCCTCCCCACCTCCATCCCCGCACCCAGTATTGGGGAGTGAACTCTACCACTGAGATATATTCCAAGCCCTTTTTGTTTTGGGGGGCAGGATCTCACTAAGTTGCCCAGGTTGCCCTCAAACTTTTGATCGTCCTGCCTGGGCTTTCCTCAAACTGGCACTCTTAAAAGAAAAAAAATTGGTATTTCTTAACTTAAGAAGGAACTGGCAATCTTAAAAGAAAAAATAAAAGTTCAGGTAAAGCAGTTAGAAATTGGGAACATCTTTCTAAATCACCGAGGGCTTTTTTTCCCAATTAGCTTGGGGGGTGGGGGAAGTCCTCAGGTAAATCCACCAAGTGGAGGAGAGAAACTTATTTTAAAAGGTCAGCATAGAAGAATGGCCTTCCTTGGAATGTTCTATCATAAACACAGTCCATGGGGTACATTAGACTAATGAGGTTTCTGGGACCCCTGCTCCTAGGAAAGCTGACGGCTTGATTGATCTAAGCTGCCTGAGGCCAAGGCCCTGCTCACCAGGGGAGACACATTCCACTGGGTTTTGGACTCAAACCCTCACTTTTTTTAGAGCACTGAAGGCCACAGACCATTCACAACTATGTGCAGTAGACTATGTCTGTGTATGAGATGCAGTAATTTTTGCCACCAAGAAGTAAAAAAACTGAGAAAATATACCCAATTATTCTTTATACTTCTGAAGGAGTTTCAGGTATTTAAAATGGGAGGGCTTATTTTATCTACTTTCTTTTAAAGTTTACTTAGAAACAGCTTGTCTGCTATAATCGCATCTCAAAGGCAGGTACATTCAATGGAGAAGCTCAGGTTCCGAGGTCTCAGAGGAACCGTGGAGGACATTTAGTCCCACCCTCTTACTTTACAGAGGAGAGAATAAGCCCAGAGAAGGAAATGTTCCCTTGGGCATATATCAGAACTCAGGAAGATAACTCTGAGTGTTCTCTTTTTCTCTCTCCTTCTCTCTTACCTCCCAGGCTGCTCTGGAGAGAACCCTGTATAAGCACATCCAAGTATGGAATTAGTGACAACTTCTGCACCCAGGTGATGACCTGGCAAGGTTCAAACATGTGCAGAATTCCGCTTGACCATAATTTTAGCTAACTTTGGATGAAATAATAACTTTGATGTGAAGACTTTATTATTGAGATTTCAAAGCATTCTGTTAACATTTCCTATCCGATAAAGGTGGGGAATTGAAACAAAGGAAGGTTAAAGGGACATGGGATGGGAAAGGAACTATATTACAATAACCACGTTATTTGAAAAGTCTGCAAATGCTTGCTACGTCTTCCAAAACTGTGGCCAGACAGGCAGAAAGCAAAATGATTCTTATTTCACATTTCCAGCCTAACTTCCCTTCCTGAGCTTACATATTAAAAAAAAAAAAATCACATCACACCATTGTTCACGGCAACATTATTCATAATAGCCAAAAGGTGGAAACAACCCAAATGTCTATCAACAGATGAGTGGATTTAAAAAAAATGTAGTATATATACAATGGAAACAGTCTGAAAAAGGAATGAAGTACTGATACTTACTACAACACAGATGAACCTTGAAAATACTATGCTAAGTGAAAGAAGCAGACACAAGAGGGCAATTATTGTATGCTTTCACTTACATGAGGTCTCTAGAATGGGCAACTTCATAGAGATAGAAAGTAGAAAGCAGATACCAGGATTAAGGGGAAGGGGAAAATAGGAAATTATTGTTTAATGGGTACAGAATTTCTGGTTAAGATGGTGAAAAACTTGCAAAATGGATAGTGGTGCTCATTGTACAACCCTATGCACGTACTCACTGACACTGAACTGGATACTCAGAAATAGTTGAAATGGTACATTTTGTTATATATATTTTATCCTAAAAATCATATCCCTTTGTTTCTCAGTTGTAATTCCTAAACTTTATTGTATTCATTAATTGCCATTAAAGCCCAAATGTCTTCTCAAGACCTGCTGGCTGCCAATAGCATCATGGTCAATCTATGTGTTTATGCATGGACAGAGTCACAGACTGGCCATTTTGTGTCCTGCAGAGATCCATCCACAAACACGTGTCCAGTCCAAGAACTGCCATAGGATAACTGCAACAAGTTGGTCCATGGCAAGTCATGCAGCCAGGGTTACTGGAGATCCAGGCCTCCAAACACCCTGACATAGAGTATCAGATCAACCCTTACATTCTTCATGGCAGTGGTGGTGGTGGGAGGGATATGTATATATATATATATATATATATATATATATATTTATCTACAAAGAAAACTGTGTGTATAGATCAGAAAGACTATCAGGAAATACTCACCCAAATCTGTCCATGAACAAAGAGATCAAGCCTGTGCATGGCTATTTTGGTAAAGTTAGCAATTGTATGTTGCACTGAACAGTGGGTGTCCATAATGTAAATGCATATAATTAGGAGTTAAGTCTTTGTACCTTTACAGGACAAAGGACCTAATAAGCAGGATATACCCTTTGTGACTTCTGAGGAAAGGAGAGCTTTTCATTTTTCCTTAAAAGAATCCATTTCTCATGAGGCAAAGAAATCTGAGAACAAGAGTCTTTTGAAATAGAAGTGGGGGGAAGGAGGGAAAAGAACATGAATTTTGTATATTATAGTCATCATCCATCACCCAGACCTGAGAAGTGCCAATCCTGTGCCATACCATGACCTCTACTCAACTTTAATTTAAAGGTTTTCACAACCTCATCATCTTTCGTGGAAACCTTGCCAGTGGTCTGATAACTCAGTCCTGTAAGCTTTTAAAGACTTCAAGAGTTTGCAAAGAAAACAATCTCTAGGGATTCTTTCCATTGGCAACACACATGGACATTTAGCACAAATAAGCTGCCACTTGTAAGAAGTCCACTTGACATCATTCCCTCGTGCATCCTAAACACACATGTCAAGATCACACTAAGATATTTAGAGGCAAACATCTTTAGAATAATGTTTTGTTCCCAAAGTGCTTAATTAGCAGAAACACTGCTAGAGAGCTGTCCTTGAATATGCATGCATTTTAACCTCCATGTTATTTTTTCTGAAGCACAAAATTTCTTCTCACTGGATGGTCAGGAAGTGATTGGGAACAGAAAACCAACTGTCTTGGGTGTCAATCTGCAAAATGAGTTCCATTTTTCTAAGCAGGTTTCAATTGCCTTTTAGGGTGATGTTCCCTTTCATGAATGGTACCATTTTGGAGTTTAACGGCCGTTTCTCCATTCATTTTGGATGAGAGATGCTCCTATGGCCTAGTTATGTCTGAACTTTTAAAACACCTTCCCCCACCAACCTCTTCTGCCCCTTTGCACGCCCACCACCATTATAGTCAATTATGTTTACAACACTTTAGTTAGCGCATTACAATTCACATGAATCCATCCACTTCTTCAGCAATGTTACCTTTGAAGTTGTTCCATTTGAAGCCCATAGGCCAGAGTTACACATGGTAGGCTTGCAAACCAGGATATGATTTATTTATGACAACCATGTGTGTTTGATGCCCAGCTCCAGCACACTTTACTTCGCTCACATGTCTCAGTCTGAGATGACCTATCTACTCATTGTGTTCCATTTCAGGTGCCATATTTCCATGCTGTGAAAACAGATGGGGGACCAATTTGGTGGGGAGTGCTGCCCATATAGATGCCCCTAACACTGGTCACTACGTAACAATCTATGATGGAACACAAAGTGGGCCAAATGTCACTTGCTGCAAAGGTTTACCATGTACAATGATTTTTCTGTGGAGAAGAGGTTACCGGAATGACTGACCATGTGGGGTTCATTAAAACTGTTGTGCATTTTACCCACAAGGAAGGCTGGAATGCTTGTGAAGGAAGCCCCACTTCTCATTTCAGGGATTTTGACCCCCCACCATTTGGCAATGATGCTCCAAAGGAGAATGGTAGATATGCATCAGAAGGTGCAAACGTGGACTTCAAGTGAAGTGCAGCAAACTTCTGCCTTCCACAGTCTCCCCCCCTGTGCCCCCCAGTTGTATTTATACTTTGAAAGAAGTTAAGATGAAGCAGTAGTCACCTGGGCGTGCTCAATTTTTGACAAGCCTTAGTCACTCTGTACCCAGCAGAACAATTCACATTATATTCCAAATCCTGTGAAGATTCTGCCACACATGCTAACACTAAAATGCCAGTAGCTCCACTTACCTTCTTTATTAAGCCTCATAACCTCCCTGCTTTTTCCACCCTCTTTTCCAGCCTCTTCTAAATCTACATCTGCAGATGAAAAAGAAAAGGAAAAAAGAAAATGAGGAAAAAAAAGGGGGGGAAAAAGCCAAAGTCAAGGGGGGAGGGAGAGTGTTTATTTGCAAACAGATCGATATAAATACTGTATATGAAAATCTTTCAAAAATTGACAATGCAACATTTTCTCCCAAGTCTGGGTTTCCATCTACCTGGCCCAGATAGGTACCAAAAAAACTATGCAAGCAGCAACAGAGTAGCCTTTTAAACAGATAACACCGTGGGGCTGCGAAAGCCCACCCCGCGGGCTGCCACGGGGAGCGGGGCACAGACAGACAGACAGACAGCCCTGGCAGCCGGGCCTCTCTCTGTGCACTGATGATCTGTCTCTGTGTGTATTTATTTAGAGAGAGAGGGAGAAGCATGGAGGACACCGGGGGCCACTCTCTCTCTCTCACACACACACTTTTTCCCAGTGGCTCTAGGTGAATGGAAAGGTTACAGGATAATAAAAGGAGGAGGAGGCGGTGGGGTTCTTACTGTCGGAGCAGTGTAATTTGGCGGCGTCGATCCAGGAGGACCAGGGTTTGCCCAGAAACGCCTCCGGACTGGGCACTTTGCGATCCAGTGTCGCCATTGCTCTTCCTTCTTGTTGCTTTTTCCCTGTTCCTTCGGCAGCAGCAGCCGAGAGACACGGGATTCGAGAACGCTCCGACGTCATCTTCGGAACGTTCCGACATTGAGTGTTCTGAAAGGGGGAGGGAGGGAGGGATGGGAGGAGGGAGGCGGAGGTGGAGGAGGAGAGAGGAGGAGG